GGCTCGGGAAGTAAAGGCGGTCGGCGTGATGCTGACCACATTACCCATCAAGTGCCGATTGGTCAATAAATTATAGGTCTAGCCCTATATGCCTAAGGGCATGGAAAATGGTCCTTTACTTTACTCTACTTTTATCATCTTCAAGTTCCTTGCTTACTGCCGTGGGTAATCATACATCTCCAAAATTTGCAATTTCCGACAGCATATGTCAGTTAAGGTGCTGACACCATTCTCTGCCATGACAACATATTGTCAAGATCCTTCTGGTGTTGTCATCCTCTATTTCTCTTTCCATAAATCTTTCGAGTTGTCACAAGTTTTCTGCAATGGCTTTTAGAACCCCAATGTTGGGAGACAAGTCTACCTCCACGCCCCTCCTCTTACTCACCAGTAATATAACAAGCATGTGGAAAACGTCGACTTATTAGGGGCGTTTCTTTCGAAGGTGGGAGTGACTCTGTCTAACAGGCCAGGAACCACTAGTCTGCATTAAAATAAGCCAGATCTGTAAAACTGGGTGCGCACGAAAAACACAAGGTCTTTAACACGACTAGAGTCCAGAAATGGACAAGGAACATAATGTTCCTTCGGAGTCAATAACTGGGGAACACTAACAAGAAAGGGAGTCACCGCAGCAGAGCGGCCAGACGCGCAGAGCCGGACTTTTCTTCAAAAATGACCTTGGCTCCCAGGTCGACCCATCCATGAGTGGGTACCGGGTGTAGTCCCGGGAAGTAGAGGCGGCCGTCGTGATGCTTGACCACATCGCCCATCTTGTGCCGTTGGTCTATAAAATATAGGTCTAGCCCTATATGCCCTATACACCTAAAGGCGGGGAAGAGGGTTCTTTACTTTTTTTTAACTTACTACTTACTAACAAGAAAAGGAACCACATGATCCAATCTCTTGTGAAATGTTTTTTTTTCTGAAGTTTGTCACACCCAAAACTGTCACTACTGTCTCCCCCCCCCCCCCCCCCCCCCCCCCCCAACTACTCTGTATGGGGTGTAGGGAAAGGTGGTTTTGAGCCTGATGATTTAGGGCCGCATGGCTAGTGCTGTCGCCACGGAATGTGCGGGAAAGAATGTTTAATTGTCCCCGCGACAGAATAACTCCATCACCTTATCGCGGGTCGAAACCCGGTCTTATGTATGAGAGCCTGTTGTTACAGCCGCTCAGCCGGCCGCTCCACTCGGAAGTTTGTAAACAGCTGTGTGTGTGTGTGTGTGTTGTTGTTGTTTATCAAGATGATGATGACCACTCTTTTTCATCAAGTTATGAAGATGAAAGAGTGACTTGCGGGGTGACTTTGATTAAAGTGAGGAAGAGTTGCGCAATGTCGTCGACCTAAGTCGACCTAAGTCGCAAGACAGAGTCAGGACGACTGGAGATATGTCTAGGTGCAGTGGATGACCAGGGCGTTCTACGTGCCTCGCCATGCTGTATGCGCCCCACAGCGCTTTGCTGGTGTCGCCGTCTTGTCCGTTGAACCAAATATGGTTTCCTTCTCGCCTTCCGCCAACAGCTGTAATGTCATTACAATAGAATTTCTTTTTAAATGAACGTTTTCATATTACATGAGGTTTTTTTTTTTTTCATTTAGAGAAAAAGAACATCAGTCAATTGTTGGGGCCAATATCACCAAGGTTTTTTTTTTTGGTTTGGTCGAAACAAAATTTTTCAAAGCCGCGGATAACTGAAGACTTAGCTGACACACATAAACAAGACTATGGTTCCTACAGTGTGCATGTCAGGTGAAACCACTGTGTGGGTTCCAGGGCCCCACTGTGGGAAAAGCAAGAATAGGCCCACTGCCCCCCCCCCTTTTTTTTTTCACTCAACAAGCATGTCGTAGGAGTCGACTAATATGAGGCTCCCGTCGAAGTGCATCTGCTGAGTGGCAAGGGACGACCAACTTCACATAAATAAACACGGTAAAACGGATGCACACGCAAAACTCAGGCCCTGGCACCTAGCCAAAGTCCAAATGAACGAACAACCAGCACTTTCAGTCGAAGCTTACAGCCAGTGAACAAAGAAGAAGAAAAAATGATTGGACCACAAACAGCTGAGCAAATGCAGCAGCAGGCCTGCCCACTAGACCTACAGCTTTAAAGAGAGATCGGACCTACAGCTTTAAAGAGAGATTGGACCTACAACTTTAAAGAGAGATCGGACCTACACCTGGCATGCACATCCACAGACGTTGCTCACATGACGATGTAACGTGAGCATACAAAAAACGAACGCAGCAAAGAAGAACAGAAAACACACATTCACACACACAAAATTATTCCAGGAATAGAAATTTATAGCCAGGACACTAGTCGTTAACTCGAAAATCATCATGACTAGAAAGTAAAAAGTAAAGATCCTTTTTCCCGCCTTTAGGCTCATTAGACATGTGGAAAAAGCACCCATATTTTTACATACCAATCGGCACTAGCTGGGTAATGTGGTCAGCATTACGCCGGCCGTCTTTACTTTCCCAGGACAGCCATCCTGGTACCCATTTTAGGCTGGGTCGATCTGCGACGCCCCATACCATGATAAAAATCCACGCAACCAGCAGTGGGTTTCGATCGCGGTACGATCTAATTACGAGTCGGACCTGCAACGCCTATGCCACGGACGCATGGCTAGCAAAGAGCACTATAACAAGTGCATAAGAGACTCTTTTAGTGGTTCATTCTCTGTAGCGTTGGTGTCTTCCTACTTACAATTATTTCTTATATGGATATTCTATGTCACGATGCCCTCCTACTGTTCAATATACGATTGAGAAAGATAACGCAGTATGCTGTTGGATTTACCAGAATGGACTGGCTGAGTCGTCTTATTGTATGGTATCTGTCTCGAGTGCTGGAGATCCCGGGTTCAAACCCCGGTGAAGGCTGGGATTTTTTTTTACGTGGACTTCTAGTAATTTTCCCTGGCCTCTGCGAAGTAAGGTCAGACCCCCGTGTGTATTGCTACGCACGTAAGAAAATACCCTTGCAGATGGAAATCAAAAATCGGCGCTGCCCGAGTTAAAATTTGAGTTAAAAATCTACCCAAGGTATTTCAGGATCCTCGCCGGTGCTACAGAATGTGTCCACTGTGCTGAGATTCTTCAGACACTTATGGGTTACACCCGTGTGCCATGACACTGATCCGTTGAATAAACAAAAAACATAAGAATCGGTTTCTGAGTTCATTGTCGAGGGGGAGAAAGGACAAACCACTTCCACACAGAACCATGCCGTAAAAGGGGAGAAAGTGATGGGTGTTTCCTTCGAAGTGGAGTGTGTCTGCCTGAGAGGTGAGGAACCAACAGTCTGCACACCAATAAGCCAGATCTGTCAGGCAGATGAGCATGATGCCAAGCTGAAGTTCTGGAACAAGTCTTCAAGTCACGAAGTGGACGAACAGTCAGAACTTTCCAATGAACGCCAAAATTAGTTTGTGGGGTGGAGTAGAAGCGAGGGGAGAGGTGAGGCAGAGGGGGCCTCACTACAGATTTTGTGCCTAAGTAGGTGGTGAGGATTGGGGTATGCCCCCCTCCCACATTATGTTTTTAAGGGTGAATTCCCCCCCCCCCCCCCCCGCCGTTTTTTTTTACCACCGATTCGTAGCCCAGAAATATTATGTAGTTCAGTACTGGGGGGGGGGGGGGCACACTGAACAGTCAGTCCGCTCTTTTCCGCAATGTTTTCCTCGTAGCGGCTCGCCTGCACAAGAACGTTCACTAGTCAGCTTGAAAAAAAAAATCCAAAGCTGCAGTTACCACTCAACGTCGCAGGTTTGATAGCCCTGGGGGAAAGGTTATAAAGGCAGATGGTGAACCAGAGTCATTGCACACGGTTATAAACCATGAGTGCTCTGCCGCCGTCCGCAAGCAACTCCGTAGCTACAGCGACGTTCCTCCATTTACCCTAGAGTGTTAACTCTAGTACCCATTACCTAGAGGCTGGGTAAACCCCGGGAACTGCCTGTTTTTGAAGACCGGCCGTGGCCTGCAGCGAGTCGCAGCTGGATATAAAAGGGAGTCTCCTATCGACTGCGCTAACGCGACCCTGGATATAGGCATAGGCTAAGCTAAGCTGCGACAGTCGCCGTCGTAAAGCTTATCGTGCCTTATTTGTATGCAGACTGTTGGTTCCTTGTCTCAAAGGCAGATGGACTCCAACTTTAAAGGAAGCCTCCAGTTAGTGGACTTTTACGACATGCTTGTTGACGAGGCAGTGGGTCTTTTCTGGTTCCTCAAAAATAGGGCCTCAGAAACCCTTACGAGCACCGGGACAGCTGATCACCCCTCCCTCTTTTTTAACCCCTCTTCCTTACGCCCACCACCCACACGGCTTCTCGACAAAGCACAAGATAATGGTTAATTTACCTCATATAAAACAATACAATCGACATTTGTGTGTAAAAGAAAAAAAAGGAGAAAAAGAAAAGAGTTAGAAAAGAATGAAAGAAAGAAAGAAAGAAAGAAGAAGAAGAAGAAGAAGAAGAAAGAAAAGAAGAAGAAGAAGAAGAAAAGAAAAGAAGAAAGAAGAAGAAGAAAAGAAGAAGAAGAAGAAAGAAGAAGAAAGAAAAGAAAAGAGAAGAAAAAGAAGAAGAAGACAAGAAGAAAAGAAGAAGGAAGAAAGAAGAAGAAGAAGAAGAAGAAGAAGAAGAAGAAGAAGAAGAAGAAGAAGAAGAACAAGAAGAAGAACAAGAAGAAGAAGAAGAAGAAGAAGAAGAAGAAGATGATGATGATGATGATGACGAGGACGAAAATAGGTGATTTGGTCAAAATCAAGCTCACCACCGTTACTTCCAAGGACATTACCAGGTACCCTTTTAGACTGAGTCGGCCAGAGAGACAGAGTCAATTTCCCACTCCAACCGCCCTGTGCAGATTTGAACCCAAGACCTTCGGATTGGCAGGCGAAGGTAAAGTCACTACTTCACCGCGGCTCCCACAAAGAGATATTGCTTTAACGTAAGTAAACATTTGTCTCATGGCGGGCACTTACCCCTAGATTCACACTGGTCCGTCAGGTGAGATTTGCTTTGGTGACTTGGGGACCTTGACTCATCGCTCGCTTTTTGACTGCTGTCTGACTGAACAGCCGACTGTGCCTGCCCTGGTGTCGACGGATTATTTTCAGTCGGTCCAGTTTTATCTTCTGCTGACCCACCCAGAGAAGGGTCTATCTTCAAACCCTGCTGCTGTTGTTGTTGCAGGTAACTTTTGGCTTCAGGAAAGTAGTCCATTGTTTCTGGATTCATCTGCAACAACCCGTTTGGTCCGTATAACAAGCCCAACTCACGCGCTTCGTTCTCCTCCTGCGCTTGTTGTCTCCTCAGTGCCACCTGGGCAGCCATAACTCTTTGCCTTTCTGCAATCAGTGTACATTTAGCGCACACACAATCTCTCCATCTGCAGTATCTTTTATGTCCCTTCAGAGCCGACACGACTCCGTGATTTCTACATCTGGCGCACTTTGGCGTTCTTGGATATCGATCTGATGCTCTTAAGAACAGAGACCCGCTTGTGCCGTCAATGCCTCCACCCTGTTGTACTGCAACTCCATCTGGACGGCCTTTTTTCGTCATCTGAAGAAGACATGACTTTTGTCAAAGATATTCCTTTTGTTGACAAAGGTTTATCAGCAAAAGAAATCACTTTATTTTTGGCCGTTCAAATTCGTGTAGTTTGTCATTAACAAAAGTTATGCCTCTTAAAGTCAGTAAAGCCCGAATTGGCGATTGACACAAGTGAAATAATAATCCTGATGGTTGAAATTTTCTTCTTTTGATACACAGTGTCTGATGTTGAATTTAAAAAAATTAACACGCCTTCTTTGACAGTCACCACTATCGGTTAGCTTGTTACTGTTTATTTCATTCCCAAAGTTATTCACCCAAAACGAACTAAGAAAATAAAAGTTGCACCACTTGACACATTTATTACAAGTACTCTTTCTTAAATAAACGTTTTCAGCACTAATTCGCTTTATAATAGCAAACGTATATTTAACACACTGATGTTGCTTGAAAACAGTCTAACATCAAACCAAAGTAACATGTCTACGCTACGTGTCCAAACAGCATCACAAGTAACGCCGAAGAATCCAACAGAAAGACTTTTCTAACATCACATAACACGCTCACAAGGGAGAACTGAATGAGCCGGCCAACGGAAAGACAACATGATTAAACCCCTCTACAAAACATTAAACACTAGCCAAAAGTTGTAGGACAGAGAAAACACGTCAACGCACCACCGTCCTCTTTTGTGACTGTGACATTGTCACACCTCCGGACTCCGCCCTAGTGTTTCCCGCCTCCTGTAAGACTCATTTACCAGTGCCTGTATCGATTTTCCAAGACAGCTAACGTGTGTTCGCTGGTCGGAAAAAAAATTGTTTCTATCGCTGCGCGTTCCTTTTATTTGTTATTCCCTTCTCCTATTGGTCGTTGTGTGTCATCAATCTAGAATACGGGCTGGAAAATGTATCAATCATGAAGGAGAATGCGGAGAGATGGGCGTGTCTCGTGCTGGACACACCAGTAGCTAATGGACCGTTTAACAAGTTTGTGTTCTCGCCCGATGTTGTTCAGGAAACTGTGACAACGACACATGAAATTCCAGATCACGTGCCAGTTGACATTATAGGTTCAGACTTTTCAAACTGATAACTTTATAGGGTGGAAGTGGTGGTGGTGGTGGGAAAGGGGGAGGGGAGGGGGCGAGGCGGTCTTAGATTCAACCAAAGTTATTAGAAGCTACGTTTCAGTTAGCAACGGAAGGTTGTCAGCAATGACAGGGAAACTATGCTTACTGAAAGAAATGATTTCAACGTACTGTCTTGTTTAACAATATGCTCTAAAGCGATTCTTAAGACACGGGAGGCAATCTGTTTATTTGTTGTAGTGGATTCTCAGATGCGTCCAACCCAAAGTATGCACCTAGAAATGATTCAAGACTAACTCTTTGTCCAAAGGAACGCATCATACGTTCATAGGTTCCTACCTAGAAGCCCAATTAACGCATCATGCGTCAATTTCAGTCTCTCTTTACTACCCTTTGGGCCTTGTGATGCTAAACCCCTGGGACTCAAAGAGTTAAGGAGGTTGACGTGATGCTTATCGCCTTACTCAACAAGTCTCCACGACAAAATAGTTAGAACTTCCGTCTTGTCCTCTGAAGATCCTCGGTTCTGTTTCTTATTTCATCTTTCTTTCTACAGGCCTTGTGTTTGTTGGGATCCAGGGTCGTCAGAGCAGCTATGAGATTCGTGCATCGCGTGCTATTGCGTTGTTCAACCAGCAGCTTTTGCAGAGAGGACAGCCATGTGGATAAAAAAAAAATAGTTAAATGTAGTCGACATTAGCCGTCTTATACACCTTCAAGCCCATCGTTTATCGATAGGAATAGCTAGCACAACCTGCCGCCATATGGTTCATATGTATCCACACATACACAGTCAACACACACACACACACACATATATATATATATATAGATAT